TCTTATTAAACTTATCCCCATGGTGAGGAAATATCTTTGTGAGACCAAGCAGTTTTATGTCCAAACAGCCAATGAGCTGATAATGGGTTTTATGTCTAGCTGTAACCAGCAGCATTGCAGGCAGCCCTTCTTTCATTGCAGTTAGGAGATGCAGGTTTCTCAACCCATAGCGTGTAAATACTTCTTGTTAATTTAGTGGTCCATGCTTTTAAATAGAGTATCTGGTGTCCCCATGCATGCCTATTGGCTGAAACACAAAATCTGAGATGCCTTATGGAGCTAAAGAAAGAAACCTGGACCAAAAATGAATGGTATGAGGTTATGAAATAAAGATGGAGGAGTGGAAAGAACTCTTTGCACTGGTAGAGTCTTTAAGCCATGAGAATTTTAAAATTGTAGATATAGGAGTTACTCTGTTATCTCCTCTCGGCAGAGAAATGGAAGGAGAAAGGCAGCTAAAATTGCTTGCTAATTATTCAGACAGAAGCAACTTCTCATTCCAGGAAACTAAGACTTAGCATCTTTATCTGTGAAACAGGGATGATAATGCCATACTCCTAGAATTGTGATGCAAAGAAGTCAGCACAGTGCTGATGCCCCGTATGTGTTCAACAAAAAGAAAGCCCTGACTTTTAGTTCTAGTGTTATTCTTCCTTGCTAACTTCTTCCCTCTTGTTGTTCCCTTCAGTATAGCATACAAGTGAAAATAACTAGCAGGCAATAATGTGGGGCCATGGTTTAGGTGAGAAGACAGGAAGTGAGATCCAAACAGAGATCAACAGCGAGTATGGTTGACACCATGGGAATCTCACACTTTTATCTGGTAGTACGGCATTGGTTTAGCTTGCAGACTAATTTCACAGAGTTATTTAAATGTAAATATACAAATTGGGTTTCTCTGCCATAGCTAGGAAAGGGAAGAAGGAAATGAATCTATGTTTTTTGGTTACTACCATGTGGCACCTACTTTCATACATTATCTTTACTATATTTCCAAAAGAATATAATTTCCATGAGAGCTGAAATTTTGGTCTGTTTTCATTTACCATCTGCTATGGTTTAGTTATTTGTCCCCTCCAAACTTCATGTTGAAATTTGATGCCCAGTGTTGAAGGTGTTTGAGTGATGGGGGCAGATCCCTCATAAATAGAGTAATGCCCTCCCTCGGGGGTGAGTGAGTTTTTGCTCTAAAATTCCTTCAAGAGCTGGTTGTTGAAAAAGAGCCTGGCACTCCCCAGCCCCTTGCTTCCTCTTTCACCACGCCATCTCTGCACACATGGGCTTTCCCTCACCTACTGCCTGCCTTGAGTGGAAGCAGCCTGAGACCACTAGATGCCCAATATTGAACCTTTCCACACATCAGAATTGTAAGCCAAATGAACCTTTTCTCTTTACAAATTATCCAGCCTCAGGCATTCCTTCATAGCAAAACAAAATAGAAAAAGAAAACTGGTACCAAGAGTGGGGTCTTGCTATAAAGATAGCTGAATATGTGAAAGTGGCTTTAGAATTGGGTAATGGGAGATGTTTGGGTCATGGGGGTGGGTCCTTCATGAATAGATTAAGCCTTTTTTGGGAAGTGAGTAAGTTCTTACTCTATTAGGTCCCATGAACGCTGGTTGTTTTAAAAACCCTGGCAGCTCCCCACTTTCACTCTTGCTTTTTCTTTCACCATGAGACCTCTACAAGCTAGCACTTCTTTGCCTTCTGTAATGAGTGGAAGCAGCCTAAGGCCATCACCAAAAGCAGATGTTGGCACTATGTTTCTTGTGCAGACTGCAGAATTGTAAGCCTAATAAATCTCTTCTCTTCGACAAACAGAGAGCCAAATCATGAGTGAACTCCCATTCACAATCGCTACAAAGAGAATAAAATACCTGGGAATCCAACTTCCAAGGGATGTGAAGGAACTCTTCAAGGAGAACTACAAACCACTGCTCAATGAAATAAAAGAGGACACGAACAAATGGAAGAACATTCCATGGGCTCATGGACAGGAAGAATCAATATCGTGAAAATGGCCATGCTTCCCAAGGTAATTTATAGATTCAATGCCATCCCCATCAAGCTACCAACGACTTTCTTCACGGAACTGGAAAAAACTACTTTAAACTTCATATGGAACCAAAAGAGAGCCCACATGGCCAAGTCAATCCTAAGCCAAAAGAACAAAGCTGGAGGCATCACATTACCTGACTTCAAACTATACCACAAGGCTACAGTAACCAAAACAGATACATAGACCAGTGGAACAGAACAGAGGCCTCAGAAATAATGCCACACATCTACAACCCTCTGATCTTTAATAAACCTGACAAAAACAGGAAGTGGGGAAAGGATTCCCTATTTAATAAATGGTGCTGGGAAAACTGGCTAGCCATATGTAGAAAGCTGAAACTGGATCCCTTCCTTACACCTTATACAAAAATTAATTCAAGATGGATTAAAGACTTAAATCTTAGACTTAAACCATTAAAACCCTAGAAGAAAACCTAGGCAATACCATTCAGGACATAGGCATGGGCAAGGACTTCATGACTAAAACACCAAAAGCAATGGCAACAAAACCCAAAATAGACAAATGGGATCTAATTAAACTAAAGAGCTTCTGCACGGCAGAAGAAACTACCATCAGAGTGAAAGGCAACCCACAGAATGGGAGAAAATTTTTGCAATCTACCCATCTGATACAAAGCTAATATCCAGAATCTACAAAAACTTAAACAAATTTACAAGAAAAAAACAAACAACCCCATCAAAAAGTAGACAAAGGATGTGAACAGACACTTCTCGAAAGAATACATCTATGCAGCCAACAGACACATTAAAAAATGCTCATCATCACTGGCCATCAGAGAAATGCAAATCAAAACCACAATGAGATACCATCTCACGCCAGTTAGAATGGCAATCATTAAAAAGTCAGGAAACAACAGACACTGGAGAGGATGGGGAGAAATGGGAACACTTTTACACTGTTGGTGGGAGTGTAAATTGGTTCAACCATTGTGGAAGACAGTGTGGCAATTCCTCAAGGATCTAGAACTAGAATTACCATTTGACCCAGCAATCCCATTACTGGGTATATATCTAAAGGGTTATAAATCATGCTACTATAAAGACACATGCACACATATGCTTATTGCGGCACTATTCTCAATAGCAAAGACTTGGAACCAACCCAAATGTCCATCAATAATAGACTGGATTAAGAAAATGTGGCACATATACACTATGGAATACTATGCAGCCATAAAAAAGGATAAGTTATGTCCTTTGCAGGGACATCGATGAAGCTAGAAGCCATCATTTTGAGCAAATTATCACAAGGACAGAAAACCAAACACCGCATGTTCTCACTCATAGGTGGGAATTGAACAATGAGATCACTTGGACACAGGGCAGGGAGCATCACACATCCGGGCCTGTCGGGGGATGAGGGAGAGGAGGAGAGATAGCATTAGGAGAAATACCTAATGTAAATGATGAGTTCATGGGTGCAGCAAACCAACATGGCACATGTATACATATGTATCAAACCTGCATTTTGTGCACATGTACCCTAGAACTTAAAGTACATATGAAAAAAAAAAACTCTTCTAATTTTTTTTGATAAATTACCCAGACTCAAGTAGTCCTTTATAGCAACACAAAATGGAGTAAGACATCACAGTATTTCCCACACCTAGAACAACATGTAGCATGTAGTAGAGCATCAGTAATATTTGCTGAATGAACTATGGATACTTAGGAAAAGCTCAGCAAGGCAAAATCTATCAGCCATGTGCCACTGTTCAACTCATAAAAATAAAGCAATGCGATTAATTCTCTTATTCTACATAAATATTCATTAGATTAATGATTAATTCCTTCTCTTCATCACACTACCACATGTCTAGTCCAAAATCCCATCATATTTCACCTTTATTTCTGCTGTGACCTACACTTTGTTCTCCTCACCATAACTGAATACCTGTCTTACTGCAGAGCCAGAAAGAATTCAAAAAGAAATATAATATTACCCTCCTGTTTAATATCTTCTAATAGCTCCATGCTCTTTGAATATAGTACCAAACTCTTATAGGCTCACAAGAGCCTGCTGTATCTGGCCCGATAAATTTCAGCCTCATTGCTTTTTCTTTGTGTTCTGGACTGAGTTGCTTTCAGATGCTCAACTAATCTATGTTCTCTTTTAACTCAGGGCCTTTGCACATGCTGTTCTGTTTGCCTAGAATACTGCCTTATACACCCTCTACCCTTCTCCATACAACTCTCTATCTAGATGATCTCTACTCATTGTTATGGTCTCCATTTAATATCACTTCTTTAGGGTACCCTGCCTGAGACTCCATAAGGTTCCCAACTTCATGCCTTCATGGTGTCCTGTATGCCCCCTTTTCAAACACTTTTCTTTCCCTACCAGGCTAAAAGCCCCATGAAAGGAGAGGTGGATTCTATTTTATTCACTGCTCTGTGTGTGTGTGTGTGTGTGTGTATGTGTGCGCGCACATGAGTATGGCAGGCATATAATATGTGCTCAATAAGTATCTATTGAATAAATGGTGATCATGTAATACTAAGAATACCCTGCAATGTGAGGTATCATTTCTATTTTTCAGATAAGAAAACTAAAATCTAAAAAGACTAAATTTCAAACTCAAGGTCATATAGCAAATAGCATAGTTAAGAGTCAAATCTAAGTCTGGATCCAAAATCTCTTTCTTCTTTTCCAAAATAATTTTTCTCCAGCTCATCAAATACTCTACTTACTAGAAGGTCACAACCTATGTCATATAGTTGGTTCTAATTTGGAAAGAATTATAATTTACCAGACACAATCAATTCCTTCTCCAGTGATGCAGAAGGCCCCACAGAAGCTTTCAATGTGGTTGCTGGATGACTCTGAGCATAATTATTATAGGAAAGAAGTGCAAAAATAGTTCAGGTTAAGATACGTTTGTCAGCTTGCTCCTTTCCGCCCGTGGATGCCACCGATGCAGCATCGTTAAAGTCTCTCTTCTCCCTGCCATCATATCTAAGTCAGAGTCTCCTAAAGAGCCGGAACAGCGGAGGAGGCTCTTCATTGGAGGGTTGAGCTTTGAAACAACTGATGAGAGCCTGAGGAGCCATTTTGAGCAATGGGGAATGCTCATGGACTGTGTGGTCATGAGAGATCCAAACACCAAGCGCTCCAGGGGCTTTGGGTTTGTCACATATGCCACTGTGCAGGAGGTGGATGCAGTCATGAATGCCAGGCCACACAAGGTGGATGGAAGAGTTGTGGAAACAAAGAGAGCTGTCTCAGGAGAAGATTCTCAAAGACCAGGTGGCCATTTAACTGTGAAAAAGGTGTTTGTTGGTGGCATTAAAGAAGACACTGAAGAACATCACCTAATAGATTATTTTGAACAGTTTGGAAAAATGGAAGTGATTGAAATCATGACTGACCGAGGCAGTGGCAAGAAAAGGGGCTTTGCCTTTGTAACCTTTGACAACCATGACTTCATGGATAAGATTGTCTTTCAGAAATACCATACTGTGAATGGCCACAACTGTGAAGTTAGGAAAGCTCTGTCAAACCAAGAGATGGCTTGTGCTTCCTCCAGCCAAAGAGGCCAAAGAAGTTCTGGAAACTTTGGTGGTGGTCATGGAGGTGGTTTTGGTGGGAATGACAATTCTGGTCATGGAGAAAACTTTAGTGGTCATGGTGGCTTTGGTGGCAGCCATGGTGGTGGTGGATATGGTGGCAATGGGGATGGTTATAATGGGTTTGGTAATGATGGTGGTTATGGGGGAGGCAGCACTGGTTACTCTGGAGGAAGCAGAGGCTATGGATGTGGTGGACAGGGTTATGGAAACCAGGGCAGTGGCTATGGCGGGAGTGGCAGCTATGACAGCTTTAACAACGGAGGCAGAGGTGGCTTTGGCGGTGGTAGTGGAAGCAATTTTGGAGGTGGCAGAAGCTACAGTGATTTGGGTAATTACAATAGTCAGTTTTCAAATTTTGGACCCATGAAGGGAGGAAATTTTGGAGGCAGAAGCTCTGGCCCCTATGGCGGTGGAGGCCAATACTTTGCCAAACCACAAAACCAAGGTGGCTATGGCGGTTCCAGTAGCAGCAGTAGCTATGGCAGTGGCAGAAGATTTTAATTAGGAAACAAAGCTTAGCAGGAGAGGAGAGCCAGAGAAGTGACATGGAAGCTACAGGTTACAACAGATTTGTGAACTCAGCCAAGCACAGCGGTGGCAGGGCCTAGCTGCTACAAAGAAGACATGTTTTAGGCAAATAATCATGTGTATGGGCAAAAAAACTCGAGGACTATATTTGTGACTAATTGTATAACAGGTTATTTTAGTTTCTGTTCTGTGGAGAGTGCAAAGCATTCCAACAAAGGGTTTTAATGTAGATTGTTTTTTGCACCCATGCTGCTGATTGCTAAATGTAATAGTCTGATCGTGATGCTGAACAAATGCCTTTAAAAAAATAGTTCAGGTTATTTATGTTTCCTTTTTCCTTAGATGCCAGATAAACAGTTGTTGACTGGAATTTCAACTGAGGCAGAGAGATGACCTAGTTAAGTTCCTGGCCTGAGAGAGTGTCAGTAGAAGAGCCCATATTTCTCACATGTATGGAATTACATGAAGATCTTTCATTTATTCTGCTCTGCTGTGATTCAATGTGATTACTTTGACTAGTGAATCGAAGGTGGCTCTTTAATTATAAACAAGCGAATGGGTTAAAAAAATCAAAATTAATATCTATGCTTTAAATGAGAGGAGTGAAGGGGCTATGATAAAGGTTAGTAGGACACACGGGCTTGTGACTTCATTGTACCCACACCCCTCATTTGTGGGAGGCCACTCACCTGTACATCCACCAGAGGGCAGCAGCAGCAGCAAAGGCCCACCTCCCCTGTGCCACACTTCACGCCACGCCGTCCAACCACACGTGGCTATTGGGCACTTGAAATGTGGCCAGTGCCACTTGTTGAAATGATAACAGTTTGGATATATTGGATTAAAGAAAATATATTATTGAAATTCATTTCAGCTGTTTATTTTTACTTAAACGTGGCTAAGTAGCAAATTTAAGGTGACATATGTGGCTTGCATTCATAGCCCATGCTATATTTCTTTTGGGTGAAACTGCTTGACACAATCCATGGCATAATAAACAGAATTTCCAAAATAACTAAAGTTTGAATCTCATTTTCAGGCTATGTATATATTACACAAATATCATGTCATGATAAGAATTTGGAAGGATCTTGGAGCTTGTCCTTATTTTACAGCTAAAGAAACTGAGGCTCAAAGAGATGAAGCAACTTTGCCCAAGATCAGACCACCAGTAAGTGGCAGAGCTGGACTTTGGACTTCAGTTTCAAACAAAATCAGTTCTTCTCCACTCAGCGAGTGGCCCAGAAATTATAGGTGTCCGTGGACTTAGAGTGTACCTCTGAGAGCTCCCATCCCTCTATCCCCAGCACCAGTGGCTGGCACATGGCAGGAACTCTGTTCTACAGCATCCAGTCTGTGTGAGATGCTTTGTTTACTGCACCACACAAAGAATACAAAGACAGGTGCTGCTCAGGCTCTGTTCTCTGGAAGCTCATGGCGTAGTAGAGAAGATACCAGATGGACAGTAACCAATTAAAATCACAAAACAAGTTCTAGCAAAGTACCTTGAAACTAATATGGAAATGTGTTCAACTTCATTAGGAATTTTAAAAATGCAAATAAAAATAAGGATGTGACGTACTTTACTCACATCCTTCCTAGTTTCAGAGGGCCTTAAAGTAGTTCATAATCCTACCTTCAAAAAAAAAATCAACAGAAAATAAAATCAACAAAAGAAAAGAAGTTCTTCTTTCTGTAAATGTGTTCTGTGGGAGGGACAAGATATCACCCAAGAAAATGAGTTAGATGATATGAACATTTTAATTGCCATGATGTCCTTTGCATCAGTTTGCTTAGCTTTGAGAAAAGAAGTTAGTTACATCCAATTGGATATTTGATGTACACTAGGAAGAATATTTATCTTTATTTAGTTTAAGAAAATTCAAAATTCCCAGGCTTTTCTTGAGTGTCAAAATGGAAAACTTACTTAACAGAAGAAACCAAAACTTATTCTGTCTCCTGGTATCTACCACAGGACTTGACATATAACATGGACTCAACTCAATAAAGCCTTGCTGAATACAGGAAGGTACCTGTATTTATTCTGTGCCGGTTATGTGCCCATGTACCTTAACAGGCCTGTTTCGATAAATAAGGTCATTTAATAACCTTAATACCCTGAAAATTTTAGTCTCCATTTTTAGATAAATAACAGAAGCTAAAAAAAAAAAAAAAAAAAATTGATTATCTTGCCCAAATCCCTAATTACCAGGGAGCAGAGCTGCAATTTGGACCCATAATGTATTTTGTTCCAAAGCTTGCATCTTTATGCTGTGTGAAGGGATAGGAGAATAAAGGGAAAAAAGAGAAGGAACAAAAGGGAAAAAGAAAAAAGAGAGAAAAAGGGAGAGAGAGGAGGCAAGAGAAGGATGGAGATAAAAACAAAGATGCAAGGGAAGAAAGGGGTGAGTGAGTATGGAATTCTACCTCTTTCAGCACATAGTCTAAAAATAAAGATAAAGAGAAGGGTCAAAGCTTTCGTGGAAAAAATATTTCTGGCAATTTGGAGAGACAGTTTTTAAAACGACAGGTTAGGAATTCATCTACTGTCGAAGGCTTGGCTCTCAGAAGTTCCCCCAGGATGGTTTCTTCTCTTGCCACCTCATTATCGCCGGGAACAATCTGCATGGCCAGTAATGAGAGGATCTTAATGCCGGCAGTCTCAGGGGTGGGTAATGGCTCTGCTCGCGGAGTTGGGGTCACAGGTTCAGGCCTGGATGCTGTGGAGAGAGCTGTGCGGAGCTACAGACCGTCCCCCTGGACTGGCAGTCCATTAGCCCTTACCCCCTCAGCATGGCAGTAATGAGTAGGTGAGGCCCACTCCACAGCCCCTGCCAGCAGGCCCGTCAGAGTGTGGGTGTGGCCTCCCAGTGCCAAGTGCTTCCCGCTGCCAGCCCTGACCAACCTGCT